CTTGGTAGCCCAGGCTGGCCTCGAACTCACAGAGATCCGCCTGGCTCTGCCTCCCGAGTGCTGGGATTAAAGGCGTGCGCCACCACCGCCCGGCAGGTTTCTGTTTTCTTATAATCCTGTTTACAGACATCCACCCAGTCTTTCAGATTCATGGACACCAATGAGGCATTCTGGTTTCCTTCGCTTTCATTCATGACATTGACTCCTGTCCTGTACTCTGACTTTCCACCTTCATTCATGACATTGACTCCTGTCCTATACTTTGACTCTTTCAGGCTTTGATCTAGAAACATCATGATCTGTATGGAAACTCCCAGGCAAGTTCACCCAGGATGTGTGGGCACAATGCCAACAGCAGCAGCACAGCTAACACTTGCTGAACAGTGTGCACAGTGACAGACACTCTGTGTTCATTATCTAGTTGATCTAAAGTGTTCGTGGTAACCTGGCCAGCTGAATACTCAGCCCTGTCTTTCAGATGAGAAGCAGAGGTAGGTAACTTATGCATGGATGTTAGTAAGCCAGGACTCGGACTTTGTCATCTGAACTACAGAGCAATATTGGCCTCCAGGAGTGACCTCCTCACCTCCAGGGAGCATCTCAAATTGCAACCCTGGACACACAGGTGGTCATGAGTGCTTAGTTGTTTGCATTGTGTCCTTTTGACATCACACCATGACCCTGGGGAAATACCAACATAGACAGCCAATGAGAACTCTGAGAACTCACAGGAGAGGCCAAGAGCCCCACTACATGCTTAGAGTGCAGCACTGTGTAAAACATGTGTGATGTGTTAAATAGACAGGGCACTCAACACATGACACACATGAAGTTCTACCCTTTCACTCTAAGGTGCCTCACCACAGGCCACAGAGGACCACCTCTCTCTCTCTCTCCACAGGCTGCCTTTTCTGAACTGTGTGAGTTTCCTGATGCATAAACAAATAGGAGCATTTCTATAATTTTCTATGTGATCCAGAGTCTATGAAGCAAATAGGCCTTGGGTACGTACTAATGAAGGATAAAAATATAAGTTCTAAGCCCTGTTTCACTCATCTGAGCTTCTAATTTCTCACATATAATTCAAAAAATCTTAATGAACAAAAGCAAACTGAAAATTGCTTGAGTTGATATGAATCAAGAAGAAA